CGATTGACAAATGGTTACTTTATACCGATTAAGTAACAAAACTTCATAATGTCTTCACTAACTTTTTGAATCTTACTTCCGAATAATTAGTTATGGGAACTGTGCTTACTGCCTTGAAAGGAATTAGGCTGTAATCTAACTACCCAGATTTTTCTAGGGATACTTTAACCTCATGATGAGCTCAAATAAGTGGATCTCGTCTTTGTATTAATTTCGGTTTTCCAAAACTTCGTTGTGATTCGCATCAAAAGCTGACTTTTGACGCGCTTGTGTATGCATTAAGAGGCTATGCATGCCGTTCTTATTGGGTGCAGCTGAAACCTGATCTTTCTGCTAACAAAAAGTCAGCCAGTTGTAAGCACTTTAGTACACAAACGGGGTTAACGCTCTAAAAACTCATTTTGACCTTCTTTTTGGTTCGCTTTGCATTTGCGATGACGCAACTAACATAAGCTGGCCTCCTTCTCTGGTATAAATAGTAGGCACGGAAACAATGTTGTCAGCTAGGCTCACCCAACTCTGAAATGAGTAAGGTGATTGTAATCGGCTCTTCGATAATACTGGCCGTTGTGCTCGGCTCCCTCGTGGCAATAGGTTTCCTGCTTGAAGAAGTCGCCGAATTTCAAAAGGAGTTCAAAGTCGACGTGGATGAGTTTAATGTGAGAATCACGTAGTCCCAACACAGTTTAAAGTATTTATTCTATTATTTCTAGGAGATAGTTGAGGACGCCTGGACATGCATTATTTCGAAACATTTGGCCCCTGACAATCGATCGAAGACTGTGAATGTATTCACCGAGCTCATACAGCGTCAGTCACGAAGCGCTATGTATGGAGAGTGCAGGTGTGCAGCTAGAGCTGAAAATTGTCCGGTAGGACCGCCTGGACTGCCAGGACAAAGAGGATATCCTGGAGAACCAGGTAGCAACGGCTATGATGGACGACCTGGTGCTGCAGGAGTTGCTGTGGCGGTAACGCATGATATGCCTGGTGGATGCATCAGCTGTCCAGCTGGCCCACCTGGAGCACGTGGAGCACCTGGTCAACCCGGACCGGCTGGACCTCGCGGTGGAATGGGAGTTCGTGGGCCACCAGGCCATATTGGACATTTAGGAGAAAATGGGCCACCAGGTGACGAAGGACCGGAGGGGCAGCGTGGACGTCAAGGCGTGGCCGGAACTCCTGGAGAGTCGGGTACGCAATATATTATGGGAATGCCAGGTATTCCAGGGCCACAGGGACTCCGGGGAGAACCGGGAGAACCAGGAAAACCCGGCGAAGCAGGCAAGCCTGGATTACCAGGACCACAAGGTCGTTCTGGCCTTCCTGGAAAAGAAGGACGTCCGGGTAGGAATGGACAGCCGGGTCTTGTAAGTTTTCGCAGATTTTTTTATTATAAAATTTTCTTAGAAGTGAAGTGCGTCATTGCAGCGTGGAGATAATGGAAAACCAGGAGCGGATGCTCTCTACTGCCCATGTCCGAAGAGACGCAGTCGCCGGCTACAATCCACTCCTCCACAAGGCCCAGTACCGCCACAGATTATGAAATTTGCACAGCGCCCAGCCCCTCCACCAAATGCAGTTTTTGCAAATAGTCCAGCTACTGCACATTTGAAACAAATGCGAAATACTACACAAATGCCGATTCCTCCACAACCTCAAACTCCTTCCCCGACTCCTTCTCGTCTGCAGACGGTTCCTGCAACGCCTGCCCGTCCTCCAGTTCAAACTGTTCCTCCTACGCCAACTCG